TCCACCCCCCCCCCCCCACCCCCGGGTCATTGTCAAGCTTTCTCTATCCTTGTCACTGGTATTTCCTAATGTTAACTTCTGGAGGAAACTAAGTATGGTCACCAATCAATTTCATTGGGGTCTTTTCAGCACTAGAACACCCAAGGAAATTTTCCCAAACAGGCTACTCCCCTCCTCTTTCCACAGCACTTAAAAATCAAATAGATCCCATCTACCTATTGGTAGGAAAGGTATTGGCTAGTGAGGTATCCTAGATTATGCAGGGATATAGGTTGACATTAGGAAGGCCTTTCGAGTTATCCTGTCTACATGTTACTGAGAAAGATATCCATTGTGCCAGCCTAAATGGGATAGTAGTGTTATGTGTCCATTCCATGCTGGGGCATGTTAAACTCTGGTGGCCTGGGGACTCTTGTGCATGTGGACTCTGTCCCTGGGTCACCAAAGACACATTATCTTTTAGATCTTGCCATCTCACCGAGATATTCCTACCAAATACTGAGCAAGTCTCTACTCCCTCTGAATCTCAGATCTCTGAATTCTTGTATGCGCCCTCTGAATTTTAGGCCTCTGAATTCTTGATCTCTGTTTAAAAGAATGTTCTCTCCCCTTTGGCTTCCCTCAGAGCCATCTTTGCCTAATTTTGGTGTCCTTTGAATTGATTTGGCTTCCCTCAGAGCCATCTTTGCCTAATTTTTTTGTCCTCTGAATTGATTTTTTTTTAATAGCTTTCTTTTCTTTTAGAAACTGTTCCTTTCCTGCGTTAAGGTCATGTGGTTTCATGGGGTTGACTTCACCTTTTGGCTCCCTAGCTGAGCTGGACACAGAAGCCAGGCTCGACCAGTCAGAGTCAGGGTGATTGGTTCAGGAATGAGCGTTGCATATGATCAAGCCAAGCCTGGGACTTTGCTGGAACTCCTAAGAAAAGAGTCCTCCTTCCTTTAGGGTTGCTAAGTTGTAGAGAAAAAGTTCGGCGCTGCTGAGGTCCAGGCGTGCCAACCATCTGTGAAGAGCCTGCCTAAGAATCAAGCCATCCTTGGAGAAAGGAAACAGAAACGGAGTCGGTTCTGTTAACCTCATGTTAGCCTTTGGATTAAGCCATAATGCCTGAAACCAAAACTGTCCCTGCATTTTTTTGTTATTTGAGCAAATAAAATTTCCTTTTCTCCTCAAGCCAGTTTGAGTTGAGTGTCTATCTTATTTATTTAGATTTTCTAAAGGGCATGTGCACTTGCCAGAGAGACACAGTGGCAGCGTTTGGGGCAGGGAGCGGAATGGAAAAGCACCTCCACAGGGCATGGTCACACCCCAGTCCATTCCCATCTCGCCCTCGTTTTGGGATGTTGACCATGCATGCACACACGCCTGGCGTATTTAAGTCGCTGGGTCTAGAACTTGAACCATGTGGTCGGCTGTGTGGGATCCAGCCACCTTCACCACCACACCACCGACTGGCCCAGAGTTACCATCTTTTTTTTTTTTTTTTTTGCCCTTGGGAGCTTGGGTTTCCCCACA